ATTGGCTCTATGATTGAAAGTTACGCCCCAGAGTCTTTTTACTGTTTTGTAATTGGTTAGAGTTGTGAAAATGAATAAAGAGAGTTTGAGTCGGTCTTGGCAAGTACTCTACGATAGACGCAGTCTAAGTCCAGTCCTGGAGAGACTTGGGGCGAGCCTTGACGCAGTCTAAGAGAGTCTTGGGTCAGCCTTGCGACAGTCTTGGGGATTTTTCCCCAGGGCGCTGTGTCTTATAGAGTGCTCGACTGATCGACTAAGACGAGAGCTGAAACGTATTTCGTTGTGTGTGTCTTATTTGACTGTAAAGTATAAGTGACTTTCCCGATCCCATACCTCAAGGGGACGAGATATAGAGACGAGACGAGATTCCCCCCTGACAAGTGTGGAGAACCCCGAGGAGAAGATTTTCCCCCGTGATACTAGTACGGGTGACATTTGTAGCGAGTACGGGTGATATTTGTAGCGAGTATGGGTGGTATTTGTAGCGAGTGCATGGAGATAATTTAGCGAGTACGAGTTATAAAATGTAGCGAGTAGGGGTGGAGGTATTGCGGGGTAAAATGTACAGGATTTATACAACAATTACGGGTGCAACGGGTGAGAAAGAAAATATCAGTGGTACGAACTGAAACTAGTTCAATCTAACGAACAGAAACTTACGGTGGCCCACAGATGTCACATCATGTTTTATTTCCCGCAACACAAACTACATTTTTTGAAACACAAATTTAATTCACAAGCAAACTTCCACTTCCAGTAACACCAACTTAATTTCTCCCATGTACAACAGTATTTTACAAAACAATACTTTAAATACTCGCAACACCAAATCCAATTTATCGTAACACAACTTTATTTTTACAAAACAAAACTTGAATTTACAAAACAAAATTTGAAATTCTCGCAATAGAAACCTAATCTTTTACAACACAAATCTAACTTTTTGCAGCACAATTTTATTTCACAAAACTCTAATTTACAAAGCAAGGAAAAAACACCCAATACACGACTAATTTACAAATCAATGCTTTAAATTCTCGCAACAGAAACTTAATTTCTTACAACACAAATTTCTTTTCTCAGACTACAACTTTAATTTTTAAAAACACAACTTTCACTTCACGAAACAAAACTTTAATTTCCCAAAACAAAACTTTGTTTATGAAAACGGAAGTTGGCAATATATCCCAGAATTCCCCAAGCAAATTGACCGCCATTTTTGTATTGACTGCTAGTATTTGTATACATGGCCAAAATGTCAATGTATTTGAAAGTTGCTGATAAAGAAAACGGCGAACCGATTGAATTGCCTCTAAAGCACAATAGAACTTTGCTCTTAAGCACTCTACAGGCACAATTCCTCGGTGCATCTGGTTTACGATACAGGCCAAGAACAACTGCAAGTGACGACCGCGGATGTTTCCGTGGCATCAAACTGGATTGCGGAGTTCTGTGTCCTCCAAGAAATGAATGGGATGAAACGTGCCCACTATTTGTAGTGTACGCTGAGAATAAAAATGCCGGTAAGTACACTATGTTTCCAAATTCTATGCAGGCTGGTTTTAAAATATAATATACGGGCTACAAGGGGATTCGAGTAATTTGTTGGCGATAGTCTGTCCCACAGGAAACTCCTGACAGGCGCTCGGGCCGTTTCTTGAATAATTAGAAGGGTCGACACATTTAGTCAGTCGCCGGTATGTACCAAATGTACCGGCGACTGACTAAGTATACACACTGACTTTTTACTATCCAAGAAACGTACCGAGCGCCTGTGGCAGGACGCTACGATCATGAATTTAGGTGCTTTGTCGTCCACATGGCCACAGAGTTTCTTTGATGTGGATCAAAATCACAATGGGTCGGGTCGAACAAACTATTTCATTTGTTATATCTAAATATATATTATGAAGTTATACCTGATATAACTTGTTAACATGGTTGCTGGTTGATACGAGTGAATTCATGGGCCAGTTACTGTATTATTCACAAACCTAAACCTTCATTATTTTGTTGTGGTCATTGCATTGTTTAGTGTGAAATACCAGTTAGTGATATTTCACACTAAACATCACTACTGTGAATATACACAGCATAGTAATGTGATAAGATAAGTGATATTAAGGAATTTAGAATATGCAATGTGTTAGGTGCATGAAGTACAACATAATTTATTGATATAAAAATACATAAAAATGATATAAATATAAACATTGGTTAAAGTAATGCAATGCAATGAGTTGTCAGTGTCAGTTGTCAGTAAGTCATCAGTGGATTAAAATGTTATAAAATTCATGTAATATTTATATCCACATTTTTATACTAAATACTCATTTTTTTAATATTTTATACAATTTATGAAGTAGATTATATACTGGTTATATAACAAAATATTTTCAATGACCAAAAAAAGGATATTTATTTCATATTTTTGACATTATCTTTCATGTTTGTGTCTTTGCAACATACTGATATTAATAATTATTATATATATTAATATTTATATAATTTGCTACAACAGTGGGTGTAGTGTTATATTTTACCCATAATTT